AAATCTGAATTTTGCTTTGTTTACATTTCAGCAAGTACAGTTTTCCGAGCACAGTTTTCGTTTCCATACCTAATCTATTTCGCATGATTTCATCTAGATAAGTTGCATTCGTGACAAAGACCATCTATCCATTGTTTCGAAAATGTATGAGGAATTCAGGGATACATGTATAGCAGCTGAGTTTGAAATATACCTGATCGAATAGGCGTCTCATAACCGGCATTTTGTAAACACAATCACATATGGCGGGACGTACACTTCGGCGTTCGTGTATGCGTATTTTCCAAAACATTCTAAACGATTCTAGACTTATCAGCGACGTTTCAGAATTATCATTAGTGATGTGATACCCGTGATCACTAATATGCTATTTTTCTACTTTAATTATTCGAGTAAATATCCGATATTTAGATTTCTAAACACACAGTAAATATTTATATAACGCCGTGAATTGTGATTTGGCGAGATTTGCAATGTACCTAACTTTCAGTCACTTTCAGTAATTTTGAATTGCCTAAAATGACAGTAAATGATATACAGGAGGGGGAATTCAAAACTGTGAAGATTCTTCGTGATGTATTTTGAATTTTATTCGATTTCGCAGTGAGGGTTGAAGAGAAGGGACATATGTGTCGCTGTGGCAGCCAGCGGGGTATAATTACACTGTGAAAAAACCCGATAATGTTGACATAACAACAGATAATGTAACTGATAATAATAACAAACAAACTCGCAGACGAAGACGAGTTTGTTTATTTTTATAATTAATTACACGGTCTTGCTGTTCAATACAGACGTAGGTGAGCATTCGACTGAAGCACGAGCTACTTATGAATGACTTACACTCAGGAAAGTAGTCCGTTATCATCTGACCCCAGGTCATCACCATGGAGTAGCCAATCACGGGCCTGGAATTCGATCTCACACATATGTTTGATACCAGTTACCTCAAATGGGTTTCTCACCCACAGGTGTGTAAGAAATGTCTGATACATGTCGTCTGAACTTATCAGCGTTCAGGTCACTGCAGCAGCCGAGCCTAAGGCGACAGTGGATAATTTGGCATGATCTATGACCGTATTTTAAGTAAAAAATTATAAATAATTGTATCAGAACGATTAATTAAGGATTTACATTCTTTTAATGAGCAAGAATTAGTAACTTCATTAGGTAGAGTGTTCCATAGGTTAATCGTATCCGGGAGAAATGATTTAGCATAGCTCTGAGTTCTACATTTGATTGTTTGTATGTTAGATCTATTTCTAAGGTTATAATTGCTATTATCAGAGACTGGACGTTGAGGTATACAAGTGAAATACTGTTTTTCATTTTGTTAAATGTAATCAATTTAAAGCGAAAGTTTGTTTCGTTATAAATTTTAACATGACTGGTACCCCGAGCCGCCCCACAAATAGTTCTCAATTCGTCCAAATGTAAATTCTCGAGTAACAATGATTGTTCGTTTGAACAGTTGTCCCAAATATCACAGCAGTAGTCGAAGTTTGGTAGGATAAGAGATGTGTACATAGTTTCAAGTGTATTTCTTGTTAGACTGTATTTACAGCTCCTTAGGCAGTTGATCATTGGACGAATTTTTCTAATAATTTCGTTAATATGTATTTTCCATGAACAATCAGATTGAAGTGTCATTCCTAAATGTTGGTGACTCTGTACTTCTTCAATAGCAGTTACTTTCGTCTAATGCCCTAGCAATAAAACTATATAGGTAAGTTAGTTGTTAAGGTGTGGAATCGCCTGGCACGAATCCCGACTGTAAATTTGTCAACAATTCGTTTTCTCTGAAAAAGTTAAACACATACTTGAATATACACATTTCAAACATTTTGGCTAAGCGACATGTGAGAGCTACAGGTCTATAGTTTGAGCATTCATGTACATCGTCTTTTTTGTGAACTGATGCTTGTTTCCAAACACACGGGAAGGTTTTGTTTTTAAGCGACAAGTTAAATAATTTTGTCAGGATCGGAGCTAGACGAGTCGCTGTTAATTTAAGTAACTTGCCGTAAAAGGTGACTATGCTTGTCGTAAAAGGCGACTCGGGTGGTCAGGCTCGCTGACTTGGGTGATGCATGTCATCGATCCCAATTGCGTGGATCGATGTTCATGATGTAAATTACTGGATTGTCTGGTCCAGACTCGATTATTTACAGACCGCCGTCATATAGCTGGGATATTGCTGGGAGTGCGGCGTTAAACAACAAACCAAAGCAAACCAAAAAGATGTTATCTATTTTTAATTCATGAGCTCTTTTGGCTATCCTGGCTGATGATATTACTTTATTCCTGCAAATCACAAATTTTACCCAATCTGACAGACGATTTCTGTTTTAAGCAATTTTGTGAACACGATTAAATTACGTTTCCTATTTATCCATAGAGGATCCTTTGTTCGTATTGTGACAGTTTTAGTTGGAATGTATTTATCAAATATGTCTTTAAGTCTACAAGTCAGATCTTCAGTGATGATGTTAATATTATCAGATGAGAATAGGCTATCCAGGTCACACGTAATTTCTTGGTATAGTTTCTTTTATATGAACAAAAATAGGGCAGTGATCTCTACAGATTGGATCAAGTACACCAGAAGACCTTACATTCTTTACACAGGATACGAATATTAAATCAATCAAAGTTTTAGAATTAGAGGTTATTCTTGTAGGATCTGTATTTATTTGTTTTAAACCGTACATAGTTTGTAAATGTTCAATCTCTTTGGTGGTTTCGCATAGAATATCTAGATTGAAGTCGAAGAACTATTTCTAAATGGCACCCCTATCAAAGTTGTGAAGGAGGCCAAGTTCTTGGGAGTTATTTTTGATAACCATTTAACTTTCCTCCCACATATTAAATACCTAAAAGCTGAATGTCTGAAGGCACACTATTTATTGAAAGTAGTTTCTAATTCAAAGTGGGGAGGGGATCGAACAACCCTCTTACACTTGTATAAATCACTGATCTGTACAAAACTTGATTATGGCTCCATCGTTTATTGTGGAGCCTGCAAAATTAATTTACAAAAACTAGATACTATACACCATCACGACCTGCGGCTTTGCCTTGGAGCCTTTAGAACGTCTCCCATTCACAGTCTATATATAGAAGCAGATGAGCCTTCTCTTAAACAACGCCGTCTAAAATTATCCCTACAATACATCACGAAATTATATTCTATTCTAATCAGTCAAATCCAGCTTTTGAATGTATATTCAATCCTTTCTACGAAGATCTTTACAATAAGAAATCAACACTCACTCCACCACTCGGAATCAGAATAAAATCTGCAATATCAGCTTCTAATATTAAACTCCAAGATATAGCTCCTACTCAACTTTTCTCATCTCCTCCTTGACAAATGGTAAAGCCAGATGTAGACCTTACATTCACAAAACTAACGAAAAAGATACTAACCAATTTATTTACCAACAAGAATACAATCAATTAAGAAACAATTATGACGCTTATAAATCTATATTTACAGATGGATCCAAGGATGGTGGCGCAGTTGCTAGTGCCAATTGTCATTGGATCCAGAACAATATCTTCACGATTACCTGATAACAGTTCCATATTCACTGCAGAAGCAAACGCCATTTTTACAGCACTTAAATATATCAGAAATCAATCTAAACATAAACAATTCATACTGTTTTCAGATTCTCTTTCATGCCTTCAGGCGATTAAAAATATGTCATCCAAACATCCACTTGTAATCGAAATTCTTAATTTAATTAATGATCTTGCTACTGGCCAATATGACATCGTCTTTTGTTGGTTACCAAGCCATGTTGGTATCATAATATTGTTAACACAATGGATGCTGCTGCTGCAAAAGCAGCACTCAACAAATCTGTGACAACACTTCTGACCCCATACACTGATTTTAAACCCGTGATTAGATCTTACATCAGAGATCTAATGCAAAAGAAGTGGGACCCCCAAGTAGGTGTCTATAAATTACATGAAATTATACCAAATATAGGTTACACCTACTTGGGCTGTCAGTCCAGCTTTGAAGAGGTCATTTTGCGGCGATGTTTTGGCCACTCGAGATATACCCATGAGTATTTGTCAAAAGGCGAGGATCCTCCGTTTTGTGTCCCGTGTGATGAAAGAATCACGGTCAAGCATGTCCTGCTTGACTGTATTGAATTTTCCATCACAAGGGATAAATATACTGAACCAAATTAAAAACTAAAGCTAACATTTTGACCAGTTATCATTGTAGGCCCTTATTGTGTATTTAAAAAGTAATGACCACGTATTTTCTTCAGATAACACCCGTTTTTGTGCAGGTGAATCGATCAAAGTCATGTGCACAGCACTATAGTGGCAAAGGTGTTATTTCACGTGCAACTGGTCACGTGGCCGTAATACCGCACGTGTTTTCAGCCATAGTTGTAAGCAGTCATTAACAAAAAAAGAAAAACACAAGTAAACAAAAGTCTTTACGGACAATTGTCATGCCACGACTTTAAAATGTGCAACGTGAACGTGCGTGCCATTAGGCATGTTGCAGACGGGAACGTCCGTAACTGAAGTCGCAAGGACGATGGGTTGTAGTCGATGGATTGTTTATGATTTACAGACGCGTCTACAGCAAACGGGTACCACCGCTGATCGCCCTCGGCCAGGTCGACCACGTGTGACGTCAAATGTGTTGTGTTGTTCATTAATGCTTACTGCTTTTTTTGATATTATCAACTAGTTTTAAATTTAGTCTGTGATGTTCTAGTTATTCTACTGTCCATCGTTGACAGCTTTTGATTTAGTCAAAATATATGTATCATAAATGTACCATAAATGTATAACTTCTTGTCATGATATGTGTGAAATACTGTCCATGTGACTTTAAATAATAACTCACTCACTCACTTAAACATGTTTCAGTCAAACATATTACATCGTATGATCCAAATTCTGCGCTTAGAATATTCAATTTATCCCTGAGACTACGAACATTTAGGTGTATAATATTTCAGTCTTTTAGGTATTTAGGTCCAGGATGAGGGTGGACATCTCCGCAGCAGAGGAGTAGAAAAAAGAAAAAAACTGGTAATCGCAGATTCTACAAACATCGAAATTTAGAAATATGTACAAGAATCAGAAACTTAAATGAGTATTTAACATGAAGTGTAACTGCAAATGTACCCACTGCTTGTCTATATTGTGATATGTCAACCGACATCGAATGTTAGTATGATAAACAAAGGCACAGTGGGTCTCAAAAGAATTGGACAATCATACAGACACACACAAGCTACAGCTATGGCTCGGTACAAGATACATAAATAAGCACTATTTTGGTTTTCTTTTCTTGGACAAGAAACAAGTGCTAAAAATTCATGTTTTACCGGCATTGGTTGAAATGACATTTGAATGTAAAATAACTAATATTTAAATTTCATTTATGCTAAGAAAGAAATATTTTAGTTAGCCGTTTTGTTCTATGTATTGTATTTCTAAAATAATGATTACTCACTGTTGTTGTGTTTTGCGAGCTCCAGCGATGAGGGCACTCGTGAAGAGCAACCTCCTCGTGGAGAGTGCTTGGTAGCGCTAATAGCTCTTCTCCCGTGTGGACTCGGGGTAGAATTTGTCCACAGCACCCCATTGCTGGTCGTAAAAGGCGACCTAATCAGGCGATATGCGTATCATCAACATGCGTATCATCAACATGTCGACATCTTGTGTGTAGAGTGTCTGGGATATTCTCTGGAAACTGTAGGAGGAGTTGATTTCACAAGCTTAGTACCCTCTGTGGGACGGACAGATGGACGGACGGACTGCGCCACGACATAATCCCCCTTCGGCCATTCTGGCCCGGCGAGGGATAAAAAAACGACACCTACCCGTTTTCGTTATCACTCACAAAGCTCCCTTTTTCTATCAAACCAAAATATTTCAACATCGGAGTATATGATTACATCCCTAATCCCTAATCAAATGTAGCGGTGAACATATGTCCTTTTCAAAATATTGCCCCTCTTTTGTCAGACAAACTAAAATTCAAGTACAGTAATGACATTTCATTTGCAAAGAAATTACGAGGGAAGGCCCTTAAACATATTGAGGTGCCTTCAACATTGACAGTCCCTCTTGGAGGTTCATAACTCTTTTGAACCTCTAGATGTGGCGGCCAACCAATCCCTGCTAATTACAGCATGTTCTCCAATTGAGCATCCATGAGTTGCTCTCCCAATTTAATCCAATGGAACTGTTGAGGACTTCGGAACAATTCAATGATCTTCAGCTATTGAGTCTGCATTTTGCTTTCAAGAAATTTTCCTTAAACCGACCGATAATTTTGATTTAAGGCAGTACGATTCTTACCATTGCTTTTCCCCACCATGTAATAAAGCAACTGGATGATCCTCTGTTATGGTGAGGCAGGGCGTCATTCACAGTCCTGTTCCTTTCAGTACCGCTCTTCAGGCTGTTGCATGTTACTTAAAAGTTTAAGTCACTCAGGCTGTTGCAGTATGTGTAACATTAAATATTGTTTTTACTTTGTGTTTTTGTATGTACCACCATCGTACTCTCTCCGACAGTCTGATCTTCAGGCACTGTTTGACCAATTCCCTAAGCCCTGTGTTATCATGGGAGATCTGAATAGCCATAACCCACTTTGCGGTAGTAGTGACATCAATACTAAAGGCAAATTACTTGAGGATTTTTTTCTTAAATAACGATTTGTGCATTTTTAATGATGGTTCTCGCAGATATCTCTATCTTGCAACTGGCACTTACACTTGTCAGTTGTAGATTCTTATTTACTCAATGAATTTGAATGGTCAGTCTATGATGGCCTCATCTACTACCTTGATAGGAGTACCATCTAAAAATATATCTGGATCCTAATGTGGTTTATATTTACGACAAAAGTGAATACAGTTAGTTTTGGATTTAGAAAATTTGAAAGCCGTTTCATTGGACCATTTTTGAATTTTGTTAAGACAGAGCTGAAGCTGTCTTTCTATTGAATTCATATTCTTACCACAGCAAGAAATGTTGAAATCGTCCACAAAAAGTGAGCCGTCAACGTTATTGTTTAATACTTTAATGAGACTCTGAATTCTTATGCTGAAAAGTGTGACTGATAGGTATGCTGCCTTGAAGGACGCCCTGATCTTGATTGAAATGGTCAGACAGGGTAGAGCCCACTCATACTTGAAATTGTCTGTTGTTTACAAATGGAGATATAAATTGAAGTTCTGCCCCTCAATCTAAATTCATGCGAATCTTTTTAAATACCATGTTTCCACATTGTATCATATGCCTCCTCTAGATTGAAAAAGATTAATACAGTATTTGTTTGTAAAAAATGATTCTAAACGCACCATACAGTTAGGATGGGGTGCAATGCCATGCAACTATCAAGTGTATTCCACTCAAATAGTAAAGTATCCCATTCTAAGTTATACTTTTTCAGTCTGTAACCTAAATCTCTTGTTTTTTGCTTTATGGAACGTTCCACAATAAAAGCAGAGTCGTTCAAATGTGATTAAAACAATCGTCTACATTTGATGACACAAGCCCTGATAAATACACAAATACTACTTCTTACAGGGACCATGAGAGTAACATCACCATCAACTACTGCAATTCAGCAGATATCACAATCAGATACCTATTTGAAACAGCCAATCTGCTATCTGTAGTAGAAGATCACAAAACCTGGTTCCAGAATCATGAGCAATGGCTACCCAACCACCATAAGCATTTCTTTATGAAGAACTGTGTTTGTTTGTTTGTTGTTTAACGCCGCACTCTGCAATATTCCAGCTATATGACGGCGGTCTGTAAATAATCGAGTCTGGACCAGTCAATCCAGTGACAGACGCAATTTATGAATAGACAGGATACCAGGTGGTCGTCAAAAGGTGGACGTATCCTACCCCACCGGTTGTCGCAATCACAAACACATACGATAGTAAGAATAAATATGGTAAATTTATGACATTTTTTCTCACAGATTAGGAAATAATTGCAAAATTTTAGGAGCAAACAAATGTACTTATTGTATTTTGGAAGGGACAAATATGGAGGTGGGGGAGGCAATCTTAGAAACGAGACTATCTGTGTTATAATGTTACTCAATAATATTACATAGCTTAAAGAACTCTATATTTACCTGTTCAAGTACAAATGTATTTCAATGTGTAACTATTTTTAAATTAAATAAATGATATACTCTAGTTGTTGTATTCCTAAATAGATCTAGATTACAATCAATATCCATCTAAAATTTAGAAGGGATAATTCACTCAAGATTAGGAATGGAATAATTTACGTCATGACAGTTAGGACGATTAACTGGAAATTACATGATTTTGTTTTGTTTGTGTTTGTTGTTTTACGCCGCACTCAGCAATATTCCAGTTATATGACGGCGGTCTGTAAATAATCGAGTCCGGACCAGGCAGCCCAGTGATTGATATCATGAGCATCGATCCACGCAATTGTTTTGGTGGTTGGTTGGTTTGTTGTTTAACGCCGCACTCAGCAATATTCCAGCTATATGACGGCGGTCTGTGTTACAAATAATTGAGTCTGAACCAGATAATCCAGTGATTGATATCATGAGCATCGATCCACGCAATTGGGATCAATGACATGCATCAACCAAGTCAGCGAGCCTGACCACCCGATCCTGTTAGTCGCCTCTTACGACAAGCACAGTCGCTTTTTTACGGCAAGCATGGGTTCTACCTATGGGTTCCTATTCTACCCCGGATCTTCACGGGTCTGATTGTGTATATTTAGGATATTAGTATACATATTCTGACATAACATTTTGCACTTTCCTTCTTCTCTTCGGTCATATCACACAAAACACAAAACGTGCCTCTTCTTCATCGGAGGCGCCTGCTGCCCCTGGTCAGCAATTGGAGTTATCGATCCATGACCCCTCAATGCTCGCTCACCTCACAGGAATGTACACATGTCCTTGCTGTCGGGAATTATATCCTTTGACATTGTGTTTATTACACGTTATAAAACATTGGAATGGCCATATTTTACTATAAAAAATACTTACTTGATCTTAATATTGATCTCTGACTAATCTTTTTCAAACGCGGGGATCCATCCAAAAATCTAATTTTAAAAAGCATTGGTAATTTTTGTCATTTTTTTATTCGTTATCTTTACCTTTGCCCTTCTGAAAACGTTTGCATTGAACACAACAAAACATTAGCAACGGCGACTGTCAAATTCAGAAAATAAACATAAAGCAGTACCGTTTCTGCTGCTAATACAGAATGTGATCAAACTGATGCTGGCAATAGAAAAGAGAAAGGTTACACGAAGACCTTACCGTGTAGGTAAAGTAACACCAAGCTCAGATACTGCACTTTGAAAAACCATTTTCAGAATCCATACAGGTGTAAAGGACCAGTTAACTACAACACTACTTTAATTTGCAGGTTAATGTGCTGTTAGAAAGACTCATTGTGCTGTCACTTATATTGCCTCCTTGTACCAAGCAGGTGGTTGTGTCATCATGGAACATCTTGGACGTTTTGAAGGTAAGTGCCAAATGGATTTATTTTTCAGTGTACAAATAATTAAGACACTCTCAATTGTGGATCGAGACTTACTTTGGGGGGATATAAAATGAACCTATTTTTCACGACTGAATGAAGTACAGTGTAGTTATCCGACATTTCTGTATTTTGAGCATGAATAAAAAAACAAACCTTATTTAATGAAAATATTGCTGTAATCTTTACATTGAATTTCATCACAATCGATCAAGGGTTCCGTCTGAATACCTCGAAATAGCTTTGCACAGAACTTTTACCTCTCAACTTCGCTCGTCACGCCGAAGACCCGGGTTCGATTCCCGACATGGGTACAGTGTGTGAAGCCTATTTCTGGTGTCCCCCGCCGTGATATTGCTGGAATATTGCTAAAAGCGGCGTAAAACCATACTCACTCACTCACTGACTCACTATACCTCTCAATTCAATAATCAGTATATCAGTTTGACGGTAATATATCCATCACATTTGACTGATTGAACTCACAATTTCAAACTGTTTACACATGCAATGTGAGGATTTTGAGATGTATTTCTGGAGAGTTGTTTGAAGATATATTTGTAAATATTCGGTCAATTTGGGAATATCTTTGTCTAAACCTGCTTGTGTTTCACTTAAGATATTGTTATTGTTACACCAGGACTGGAGGCGTCTGTCTGGAATGGGAGTCAATACCTTACATAAAGTGTCAATGAGAGATATTTCCCTGGAATTATCTGGTTCATCCTTATTACCTCCCTTAAATATGGGACAGATTATGCTTTTCTCCCACTCCTCAGGAAAACTGCAGTGTGAACTTTTTGTTTTCAAATGGCATCGTGTACTAGTATTCATACCGTTCAGCCATGGAAGCCGTGCAAATTAACACTTGTCAGAGGGGTACACAAAGTACGTGATCTACAGTTTTCAGACTTTCATTTTGTTGCAGGCTTGAAGGCTGAGTGGGTTAGATCGCTGAATTTGTGTGCTGGCGATTAGGTGCCTCACTCTGGCACTACTGGCAGTGTGTGTTTGAATCTTGAATACTAGAATCTGTACTTTACTTAGAAAGTGTTATCCCAAATATAACATTTGTTACATTTAACCTCTTTCTTAATGGCATCGTGTATTCATACTTTTCCAAAATAACTTGAGGTAGTTCCTTGCAATAATCAGCTTAATCCTTTCTTTCTTTTAATAATCTTCTCGTTTGGTAGATAACGTCTCAAACAATCTTCGTAGAACTCTGAAGTTTTTAATATCCAGTATAAAGTCTCGGTGAGCTCTAAAAGCTGCATATTATCTTAGTTTATTAGTCTCTGAGTCTTCATCCGACCATGGAGGTTGCTTCTGTGTTGTTATAACGTAAGTCAAATAAATACCCTTTTAGTGTGACATACAGAAGAATTGTACAATTATATCACTACCCTTCTTTTGTTATTTATGTCCACTTCACTCAGAGACACAAGAAAATTGATTATCATCATTTCATTCTTATTTCTCCACTGTTGTCAAAGTAAATCGATTGTTACTATCTGACACACATATTACACTATGGTTCCTTCGATCATGTTGATACACCCTTCTACTGACGATTAATCTGTTGAGAAAAGACAAACATGGTTTAATGTTGTAATTGCAAGAATAAAATCATTAACAATACTTAGATAAAATGCAATTTACGCCACAAATTGGGAAGCCACACCAAAACCAAAACTATCCAACCATGGTTAAAATTTCACATTGACTGCCCTACATTTTAGGCGACAGTCTTTTTAAATACCCGTTCAGTCACAACAAAAGACGTCTACACCTGACCCAAGTAATCTTAAAGAATATATTTAGAGCTCACAGCTTACACACAGTCCAACTTATCTCCAATACACGCGGCCAAACCAACTTAAATGTGATTTTGACAACGTATATACTTTTTAAAATGAAATACACCTCATAAATGTCACATGGGCACTAGTCATATGAAATTGTCCCGTGTGACTCCTGAACCCGACTGATTGATCATGAATCTGTTGGTTAATGAAAAGGATTTGTGTTTGCATGCAAACCTGGCTTGTCTACTGAATTCGGTTCAGACTAATTAACATTTAAGGGTTGGTTGAGATGTAATAAAGCTTCACCCTTGTCAGTCTAATGTATATATGTTCACCTCGAAAGTAAATTTATGTATACTATCTAAAAAGCTTAGTTTTTCATTTGGTACTATTTGTTCAGGAAATATTTCTTTGAACAAACTTTTCATTTTCCACATCCTCGATTATCCAGTGTATTCTAAAGACACCTCTAAAGACACGTCACTTCTTATACCAAGATATGTGGACAAAGATCGAACAAATCTATTGAATGTGGAATAATTCAAGAAAATATCCAGATCAATCCAAGAAACGCAGCCTTCCCCGTCGTCCTATACCAAGTGATATTTGATAGAGCTTTATGAAAGGCAGTTCTGGTACAAACACAGAAACGCGAATACTATTAACATTTATAACTTATTTTTATTACAGCAACAGTCGAGCAGCTTGTAAGTACCCATGCATATTCCCCCCTTGATAAAGTAATGATATTGATGTGTATGTTATCATAATGTTCTAATCGTCAGTTGGCTTTCTATTTTCTCTGTCTCCATCTCGTCATTTATGACTTTATTAAATTGTTAATATCTACATCAATGTGTACCAAAAGTAGGTAAGCATGACATGTTTGATGTTGTCATTATTCACTCATGCATGTATAATCATTAATTACTTACCTGAAGGTCTAGAAGCAGTTTACTTTCTGTTGGTAGATATGTGTTATCTCAAATTGACGTATTGTGAGTTACAATGTATTGATAATACATTTAATCAAAGAGCATCTGCAGATAAAATAATTTAACAACATTAACATATCAATTCGTGATCAAAGGGAGACTACTTATGTTAAGTATTGCAATAGCGCGTCATTTAAATTATTGCTTGGTGCATCACGTATTGCATATAGCTGTATAAGGCAGGCGAGGAAGAACGGCGCTCTTTTCAGTTAAAACTGGTACCCGATGCGCAGTAGCTTTAAGTTAGGTGAGGAGGAATATGGACGCTACACGTACGATTCGTTTCGGACGTTGACGCTGATGGCTCCGAACAGAACTCGTTCCCAGAAAATGGTGAAGACCAGGAAACCGCGAAGGAAATGACAGCTGTCATCAGCAGTGGCGGGAAACAGTGCTCCACAGCCCGCTCATGATCATGACACGACCGTTTCGGCTGGAAGTTCAAACGAAACGAGTTGAGTCAAGCGTGACAGGCTGGATTCCCGCAGGTGAGAACAGTATTAACCCAGGTATTGATTTTGAAACAAATGTTTATCCTTATGGGCGCAGGAGGAATATCTGAACATGCAGAATTGCTAAACATCAGTCCATCAGAGACAAAATTCACAAGAGTCAGTTATCCAGTTTGTAGAGTAGTGTTACAAATGAGCCAGACACATTTGATTTTCTAGGTATTTGCGACAAAAAGGGTATGCAATTGATGAAAAAGAGCATACCAAACCAGAGAATATTGAGGAATGAACTACTCTGGTCTTGATATTTGCCAGGATTTACCTCGAGCGCTATCCACAAAAGTATTTAGATATTGTCAGGAGTCGGGCATGTCGACATTATGGATTAGGCTGGTGTAAATACAATGAGCAGTTCCGTATGTCATGGGCAGTGTTACACCAGGAGCTGTGTTTGATGTGCATGACCCCTGCATATATGTCAAGGTCGTATGGTGGATCAGGCGTTGCCATGGGGAGGGGGGAGGGGCAGTACAGACCCTTGACACAAGCAACATCCATCAGTGCCCATGGGAAACCCCAACACTTCCAGCAATCAGAGACTCTGCCACTAAAGGCATAACTCCGTTCTGCTTGACTGTACTGATTTTTCCATCACAAGGGATAAATATTTCAAAGTGTCATCTATAAAGGATCTTTTAATCAAGTACATGCTCATTTAATTATCGTTTTTTTAAAGGATATAGAATTACTTCATAAATTTTGATGTACAAAGATATATATTTTATAAATTGGTAGTATATGATAATTAACGGAGATTGTTAGTGGCTGTATCCTCGAAGGGGGTTGAAGTAGCGTAAAATTATTGTCCCCCTGAGAGGATATGTAAGCCCGCATAAATCAAAGTAATTTTATATCTGCAAGTGTTTTAATCGTAGTATATTTGTTGGTTTTTAAATCTCCGGCTAAACCCTGTCAATGGTCGCCAGTGACTAGAGGGATGGTGTAAATCCTGCTGTGGTCCATGCAGGTAGCAAAGGTACTGTAAGTCCCCATGGTCCTCAGTATGGTGACCTCACTTTAGTTGCTGGTGATATATAGTCCAATTTTATCTATTGTAATGTTATGAATTGTCATATTTTATGGTTCTGTACTAGTTTTAAACATTTATCTGTGATAATCTAGTTGTTTTACTGTCCTTCGTCGACAGAATTTTATACAGTTTACATATATATTATTAAAATCAAATTTTCTCTCGTCACGATATGGCTGCAATACTGCCGATGTGACGTTAAATATTAACTCACTCACTCACTAAAGGCATAACAATAACAAGGGGAGTCCAGTGAATTGCGAACTGCTTGGAAGTTGGCCTGCAGATTACCCCATAACAGGATACGGCTGACTGGAGGAGTGAAAGACGATTTGAGAGCAGGCTGCATTTCTTATAGGAGCACAATGGTGTGACCATGTTTTTGAACAGGATGTGGCAAGGAAGAGACATTTAAAAAAATACACTGAGAGAGGCTGGGAGTTTCAGATTGTATGGGTTTGGGAAATGGTCAATGTTTTAGCTTATCCTCCATTGCTCCTTAATCCATTCACTGCTGTTTTTTCACAGCTGCAGGAGAAGTTGTTCCAACCAGTGATGTAGAAATACCCTCACACAGCTGCCACGTGGCCTGGAAGTAGTTACGTCACATGAGAGCACATAACTGATTTGTCAGTCAACAGGGATAGATGTGTTGTTGTGAAATAACGCCTCTGAAGTTTTCCAGCATACTTTCCTTCTTATTTATATTTCGTTTCCACTTGCTATTGTGCTATTGTGTTGGTGTTTATTCTTTGTGCCTTTTTGGTCTTATCTATATGTAATTTGTATTAAATTCCCGCTTGTTTTTTGGTGCTTTTTGTCATTGTGTATTATTGTTCCATTCCACTTTTTTTAACTCGCCATGTGGCAACATACTCATGTTATGAGTTGTGCATTCTTTTCTTTTGTATTTGTTATTCATTCTACTTTATTACCTATATCTATGTGTACGCTTTAAGTGTTCTTTTACACCCTCCTATAAACGAATGAATTTTTTAGTTACAAATTAACTTTCGTGCCGTGTTGTGATTGCACGTTTGTGAAGATGTCTTTGCTTAAATTACAGATTTAAGCCTCGTATTGTTTGTCACAGAAGCAAGTTCGGCAGGGATCCTCACCAATCTCATTAAAATCAGATCAAAGTTCTTGCTGCCCCTAAACAAAGATGTGAGGACAGCACATTACGGGTCACCTTTTGGGAACTTTGACCGCCCTCTGAAACAACTAATTAACAAGAAGTCGACATCAGCAAATTAGAAAGCAGCTTGTTCGAGTATTACGGCACTCTTTTCAACCTGGCGACTTCCATTTCTGACTACGCTTGAAAAATAGGTTGACAGTCCTCAATTAAACTTGTGAAAACTGAACAAACGAACATTCTGGAATGACAAATATATGGCTGCGATTGTCTGGCACTGCTCCAACATACTATGCAACGCCTCCTCAGTCGTAGGGGCCGTTACTGTTGTTCGGAATACCCTCTGTTAACGTTTTATGAGGTTGCATGATTAGAAAACACATTGTTGTGTAACTTTCATGATTGCGTAAGCGACGTTTTGATTGGTCGTATGAAAGGTGTCTCCGACGTGACCCGTAATGGGAAGTCCTCATATATCTGTTGAGCGATAGCATGAACTAAGATCTGATTTTAATGAGATTGGGATCCTCACCCTCTGTGTCAAGATTGCACATGGGGAGTAATGAGGCACCTCCCATCATCATCACCTCGATATAACAACGGGAGCGTTTATATGAGAATGGAAATGATCACCTTACTTCTTACATTATGATCTTTCAGACCAAAGTTATAGGTTTATATTCAGCTTTGTCCACTGGATACAGCCTTGATTTCCAACGACTGTTACGATGATGCCTCGTTCGGTAGGGGAGCACATTTTGTTAGTCTTCATGGGGTCTGGCATTCGTTGGCAGATAGACACAACTTTACACGCATCGTCAAGGCCTGACATGATCAGTCTCGTAGACAGCCTAATCTAAATCTTCTAAACTCTTCCCTTACACTTTGTCAGTGATCAGTGACAAGTGCTCATAAGATTGCTCACTTCAGCCCAGGGTTTGACGAACAGAGGTCACCTACACCAGGGTCCGACCCAACAGTTCACGGCACTTACATACAACGTCAGGACCATTGCCTAATTGTTGCTATACCTCCTCACTTTATGTGATGTCTCCTGTTCGTAAATGCTTCTTTACAGGGCTCTGGTCCGGCGCACAGCTCACCTGGCACATCAACAACCTCAATTTGGAAGTGCTCATATCGTCGATATCACACTGGCAGGAGCACCTCCGGTACACTCAACTTGCTTTTTCGACCAACAACATTATTTCAGTGGTTTGATGTATACGCTAACAGGGGACGACAAACTTTCACTCACTCCTTCGACTGAAGATCTGGACATTCCATCTGGTAGATTGGCTTGGTCTACGCTTTTTGGTCCAGCACATTCCAGGATGTAAGAATGTTCTGCAGACGCACTCTCTAGAGGAGGAAGGGCAGCTCCTTCCCGAGGTGTTTCTACTCCTATGTCAGCACCTAGGTCATCCCAACATTGACCTCTTCGCATCCTGCCAGAAGGACCGGATCTCAACTTATGTCTCCCCTTGGCGGTGGAGGTATTCAGCATCACTTTAGGAGGTCTAAGAGTGTATGCTTTTTGGCCACCAGTACTTCTTCTTAAGGTGGTGCAGAAGATCTGGGCACCCAAGAGGCTCACTCTGACTTTGATCGCGCCTGCTATATCTGCAAAGGGCCTCACCAAGACGTTAGTCTTCCTCTTGGCTCTGGTTACTAGGTGAACGAACTGCATGCATTTGAGCACATCCTTGTCTAATTTGAGAGCAGGGCGCAGAGTGGCGTTCATCTTGGGCTGTGATGTAATTTCATTGCCACGAATCAACTCCCAGACCAATCTTAAACCATTTTGCAGGCTTACGAGACTGCTGGCGTGGATCCCCCAGGGCCAATATCCCTCACGAGACAAGAGGGAATGCCTCGACCATGGCTCGCCACAGCACAGCCACTACCGGAGAGACGTAGCCCTAGAGGACGTGGAGGTCGTCAACAGATTTGAACTCTTGGTTGTTGCCCAGTACATCTGAAGGTATGCCAACCTGCCGTACCGTCTGATAAAGATGCATTAAGGAGTAAT